AACACTGTTCAAAATAAACAAAATAACAAATCTCAGTATCTCACCATCAAAGGTTAATTTGGCACGACTAGCGAGTAGGAAATAAATTTCGAGTTTGATATTTCACAACCCTTCCTCAACCTCCACCCGATGTCCCTTCACATCCACACACACACACCAGTCCAAATCTCCTCTCTGAAACTGTACAGAGTGAGGCCATTGTAAGGTTTTAGCCATAAAGCCATGGAACATAAAGCCATGGAGCCATGGGTTGACGACATAGTCGATGATTTACAAAGCATGAGCTTCAACTCCACCACCACTACCACAGCCACTGACATCCATCGCTCCACCAGTTCTGGCTCTGAAACCACCACTTGGACCTTCTCCTCCTCAGCCCATCACTTCTCCCCTCACTCCTCCACCACTCCGTCCGGCGACCCCTGCTGGGATACCATCCGCCGCTTCCACTGCCTCTCCCTCTCCGATCTTCGCTTCCTCCACCGTCTCGGCTCCGGAGATATCGGATCCGTCTACTTAGCCAAACTCAAGTCACCTTCACCGTCTCCATCCTCAGAGGAGCCGCCTAAATCCTCCTTCCCCGCGGTTCTCTTCGCGGCTAAGGTTATGGACAAGAAGGAACTCGCGAGCCGTAATAAAGAAGGTAGAGCAAGGACAGAAAAGGAAATCCTTGAAATGCTCGAACATCCATTTTTACCCACGCTTTACGCTTCCATTGACTCTCCCAAGTGGTCGTGTCTCTTGACGGAGTTTTGCCCCGGCGGCGACCTCCACGTCCTCCGCCAAACTCAGCCGTGTAAACGCTTCCCGGAATCCTCCGTCAGGTACTCATTTTACCATCATCTCCTCTTCTCCACCACTATTTTAGCCGCTTGTAGTAACAATTTTTTTCATAATCATTTCTGCAGATTTTTTATGATGCCATTAATCATATGTTCTAAATCATGTTATTAATTATTAATCAAATATTAATGTGAATCAATATTCATCTTTTGGCTAAACTCTATTTGATTAAAAATAAACAAGAATTGGAATTTGGATATGACGTTGAAATTGAAAGTGACGAGAGAGGTGAGTCATATCGTGTGGTCCACCACCTGACGTAGAGCTCATGGTGGGGCCCAAGCTATTAGCTCATTGTCTTCTCTGTTCAGTTCTGTACACCAGAACTGAAATCCACTGTAGATCGAGATACATTGGAGCAGTACTCAATTCATTCGTCTTCGTTAGTTCCTCTAGTAACCAATAGGCCGTTGACACGTTTACACCATTGTGTGAGTCCATCCGACCTCATTTGTACTCCTAATCAAAGGGACATTGTTGGTTATATGAGATTGTCCTGGAAATTTGAGGTCTTGATTTAGTTATAGTTGTTCGACCTTTTTATTGTAGTTGACTTAATTAAAGTTGTAATAGTATAGTTGCAGTTCATGTGATTAAGGATGCAATTAAGGGTATGGTTAGATGATCTTTTGAAAAGTCAAAATTTACTTTTTTAACATGTTTAAATAGTTTTTTAAAAATATTTTATTTAACAAAAATGCTACTTGTACATCAAGAATTGTACATCAAGGTGTACATCACACTCACATTGGGATGAGACCCACTTGTATAAAATATTTTTTTATTCAAACGGGTCCCACCCCCATGTGAGTGTGATGTACATGCCGATATACACCTTGATGTACCAGTTTCAAAACCGCTTATTTAATAATAGGAGTTTTAAGATGAAACTAGCTTGGAGTAAAAGTTTTTCTACAAAAGTACAAACATAAGCAGAAATCCTGTCAAATGAGCCCTACGCAGCGTTTTCAATGAATTATTAAAGGTTAAAAATACTGTAAATATGGAATTTTTTAATTTGTTCCATTCATTTGTGATCCTTAAATGAGGGCAAATTCAACGGAATTTGCTCCGTTCCGTTAACTTTTGCGGTATTTAGGGGGATTCCGTTCAAAGCAACTCTTGGAATTTATGCTGACCTTCACCCCCATAAGTTTAGATAATTATAATGGGGCCCCTGATTGATTCTTTCTTTGACAATTAAGTCTAAGATAGGGAGGTACAGACAATGTATCTATTTTAAGAAGAGGTATAGCTTCTATCTCGGCTGGAATGAAGCGATATGAAGTTTATTAATTTGGAAGAAAGCAAGGTGGAATTATTGGACTTGATTCGAGGTTTTCTTTTATGGGTAAATGTAGGGAACTCATAGTCACTACTCATATTCGTGAAAAAATAGTTTTATGAACATAGTTATCAGATCAGACCCGGACATCGACTTGGCCAAGGTCACTAGGTCATTGGTATGGCAGATGATTCTTTATATTTCTATAGTACGCATAGGAACATGTGGGGGTCCTACATTCATCGAATAAAGTTGGTCATGTCTTCGTATAATTTCACAAAAGATGGACTAAAATACTTATTTTTGTAGTGATAACGTATAATATAAAAATTAGGCCTAATCAATGATTAATGGTGTCATTAGCTAACATCTAACTACTCTTGTAAGATTTGTTATATATCTTTCCCTTTGATATTTCTATTGCAGTTTCAATAATTATTTAGTTTATTTAATTATTTGGATGTTTAATTTAATGATAATCCCAGATTTTACGCATCCGAGATTGTGGTTGCTTTGGAGTACCTCCACATGATGGGAATCGTATATCGGGATCTGAAGCCTGAAAATGTATTAGTTCGAACAGATGGTCATATAATGTTGACTGATTTTGATCTCTCTTTAAAATGTGATGCCTCGACGTCTACGCCAGTGCAACTAATTTCTACTCAAGATCAGTCTAATGTATTGCCACCAACCGAGTATAGAATTGACCCACCATCATTTGGCTCAACTTCTTGCATTCTTCCCAACTGTATCGTCCCTACAGTATCGTGCTTCCATTCCAAGCGCAAGCGTAAAAAGAAGCAAGGCCACCACGTAGGTCCAGAATTTGTAGCCGAGCCGATTGATGTTCGATCTATGTCATTTGTTGGGACCCACGAGTACTTGGCTCCGGAGATAGTATCTGGGGAAGGCCATGGAAGTGCAGTGGACTGGTGGACCTTAGGGATATTCATTTTTGAGTTATTTTATGGTGTGACACCATTTCGAGCTATGGACCATGAGCAAACCCTAGCAAACATCATTGCTCGAGCCCTTGAGTTCCCAAAAGAGCCCGTTATACCTGCTGTAGCAAAGGACCTAATATCCCAGTTGCTTGTGAAAGAACCAGAGTACCGAATGGGATCGAAAATGGGCGCATCAGCCATTAGACGCCATCCATTCTTTCAAGGGGTGAATTGGGCACTTTTGAGATGTATGGCTCCACCTTTCGTCCCTCCATCTTTGAATGGAGATTATCTATCGGATGAAAGTTGCCCCGAAACTATTGTGGACTATTACTAGTAGTAAAAGCTTGTCAACCATTACATCTTATAAAAATAATGCTTCATCGTTTAACAATTCCAATATATGTGTGTTTGTTGCATATAAATTCGAATCGTAATATTGTTTCAACTAGTTTAAAATTATATGTATTAAAATATCAGTACTACATAACGTTATATTAAGTCGAGTAGAAGTTGACTGTGTATACCTTCTACATATTGAGTCCACAAGTAATTAATGGTCACAAAATGATGAAAATATCAATTTATGTAACATGGGATGATTACAAAATTGTTTGGAAGGCAATGGTGTTTTGTGATAATGGGGAGACAAAGGAAACTTCATTTTGAATTTATTTAAGGTGACAAATCAATTTTATTATCTCCTCAATGGCCCTTTTGTTGTGATGTCGACAATATTACATGTAAACCATGATGCCAACATGCACTGCCTTCAAAACCCATCCCCATTCCCCCCCACACCCCTCAGCTGCTTCTAACTTCAATCCGCAACCTCCTAAATAAAATAAGATAATCATTTAAACAAAATGTAAATGATATTGCTTTTGAGTTGGATAGCGCGAGAAGACAAATAAACTTCTCTGTCTAATACTTCAGTTCAAATATTAGAAATTTTTTTATCCCTCATATTATACGTGGAATCAGTAAAGAATTTTTAAAATACCAACCCATGATCGTTAAGAAAGGAAAGCTAAAGAGGCCTCCTTTGTTGAGAGGACGATGATAGACTCTTTTAAAGATGAGAGTTTCAGTTCAACACAATTAAAAAGTCAAAAGTCTTGAATTCCATACAAAATGAAGTACACCACCTCGAATTACAACACAAGTCAAGTACTTAAGTATACCTAAAATTGTTCTCTAATATAAAAAAAAATGTCTAAATCTGATTGAGTAGTGTCTTAAAATTCGATAATTAAGATGTTTGATTAAGAGAGTCGCAATTCTATATAGAGGTTTCACTACTTGTTACTTAATTTCCTCAATAGCTAGGCAATTTGGAAAGAGTTTAAAACAATAAATTGCATGTTTATCTCAAAATTAATTACTTTTTTTGTTAATTTCGATAGAATTATTCCATTTTGTTGGGGGTCTCGACTCCCACCACGGGAGACTATATGATTGAAGAAAGTGGGTTTGGGGGCGTAGTTTTATGGTTCTTCATTTAGGAGAATTAACCTTGATTGGTACAAATTCTTTTAAGATTCGTTCTTGAATCGTACATTTTCCATATAAAATAATTTTACATGTGAACTGATAACTTCTTACTTTTTAATCATGTTGGTGGCTTGAAGTACTAAATTTGAAGTACTATGTTTCCATGCCGAATGCAATACTTTAAAGGATGAACTTTGGTGGCTTGAGAAAACTTGTAACAACTAAGTTGGCATCCATGCTAATACAGAGCTCGTATAAGCACATCTTTTACTCCAGAAGATGAAAGAGCTTACTATACTAAGAATTTTAATCATGCAGAACACCTGAAACAACGAAAATTTGCAGACTATTAAGAAAAGGAAACTCCAAACTAAGAATATTGTATCTTCTTCGTCTTCCTCAACTAGTTTAGGAAAGAAGTTTCTGAAACCAAAAACTAAAAACTCATGCGAAGAACATAAACGGATGGAAGATCTTCTAAAATAAACATGACGTTGCAGAGATGTTTCGTACAAAAGGACAACTGAAGCTGTTCTTACTCGAACAGACTGAAGCCCATATCCTGTAAGAAAACCCGAAGAACAGTTATACCAACAGAAGTATCAACCAACTTTATGGGGTGAGTTATAAATGATAAAGAATTTTTGGAACTTACATCATCGGACTCCTCTTTCTCTTCAACTTTCTCCTCTTTCTTTGTTTCAGCAGCTGCAGGTGCAGCACCGCCACCTGCACCGGCAGCAGGTGCAGCAACGGCGACTGCACCACCACCTGATGGGACTGAAGCCAACTTTTCTCTTCCAGCAGCAATCAGTTCAGTTATATCTTTGCCCTTAACTTGAGATAACAGCAATTCAATTCTCTCATCATCAGCCTCGGCTCCAACTGAACCAAAAAAGATGAACCCAATTAATATGACTCAGCCCAGCAATAAATTCCAACAATATCAGTTCATATACAGGCTGACGCAAGAAAGGCCAATGAACAAAGCAAATATCAGTTGTTAGTTAACGGCCACTTCGGAAACAATGAATTGAAATTAGCACACATTTTTTGAACCCAGCAGGTCACAAATGACTAAACCATTAATCAAATCCATTGAGAAGGTCCAACAACAAGACAAGTAAACACTAGCATATGTTCGCACTCAAACTAGTCAGAATATCGTGACAGCTGATAAGCAATTCACATCAACACATACAGTAATCTATACATTTGTTTGACGTGGTGCTGAAACATATGATGCTGACAATCTTCATTATAATCAAACCTCCTACTGAAAGTAGACTTGATCTAGAGAACATGATTTAGGGATTGAAATAAACAAAGAATCTCTTGATTGGTTGGATTGCCAGAAAAATCCTAATTCAAAATGTTTATTAATTCCGGTCACTTCATCAATTCCATGTTGCCAAACTTTCATCTTGCTTCATCAACATCCCCATTCACCACATTCAAAGAATATTAACACAAATTCTAAAGTTGAAGCACTGGAATTAAGCCCAGAAACTATAATTAAGACACGTAATCAATATAACCAATTCACAGTATCTACACACAAAAAGACAACAAGAAGAACTAAAAGTTGGCAATCCAGAATCATTTCACAAGATTGCTACCGACAGTGCAAAATTTACACTAAGAAAATCATACAAAATCTCAAGAAACTGCTTAGAATACAAGTAGCACAGACAAATCATACAAATGTGTAGAGAGGAGAACCTGAGGCAAGGATATCCTTCAAGTCATCGGCGGTGGGGGAGGTGTTGCCACCCAAACAGGCCAACAAGTAAGCCGCGATAATCTTCATTTCTGTTCAAGAAATATTATAAAAAATAATAATTCACAAATTCAAATATATAATAAACTAAACCTTGTTCCCAATTAATATGTGGACAAACCAGAAATAAAAATGCAAAAAAAAATAAAAAACGACGATGAGTGTGTGTACAGGTATATGAGAAGTTCATATTCAGATATCTACCTGGCGATTAATGTGCAAAGAACAACGATCCGACGCTCGGCGGGCTCTGCTCCTCTTAGGGTTTTCTGAGGTAATAGATGATGAAAACTTGAGCTTCGGCTATATAGTCCGATAGCAGAGGGCAATTTATACCTAGGGTTTTTGAGATTCTGAAATATTTTTATTTCCGGTATTGCCCTTGGCTCGTTGGGAATGGACTTAGACACTAAGGTACTGTCTGGGCGAGATTTTCACTTCATGAAAATCGATTTTGGAACCGTTTATGATTGACCACGTGTAAACAGATTGTGGTTAGTCAAATAAATCTACATGGGTGAATGACTATTTTGCGCTCACTTTTACGTGATGGCCCTGAAATTTTCTGACACATAATGCAATGGTGGGCTTCATTTGGAAATTTGCTCTGACACAACATTCAGTCCATTTCACCGATTTTTTACCGTTGCAAGCCTCAACGGTAAAAAAAACATTTAAAATCAGAAAGAAATCACGCCCAGACACCCTCTAAATCCTTGTTTGGTGAGAATTAAAATCAAAATTTTAATAAATTTTGGTANTAAAGTATAAAAACGAACTAATAAGTATCTTGAGAAAAAAAAGGTTAAATAGATATTGAGAATTAGTTTTATATATATAAAAGTTATCCCAAAAAATTAAATTGAGCTTTAAATTTTGGGGGCTCTCTTATGTTTGGGCTCCAACCCAGCAGTCTATGCTGCCTAAGTCGAGGATCGACACTTGCCATCGCATCTTGAACCGCAGAACTTTAATGAAGCTCCACAACCTCATACATCGCCATACCTATATAAGTTTTTTTTTCTTTTCAAAATAAAAACTTTCAAGTTATTCAAGTCATTACGAACTACATATGAAACGTCGAATACAATCATAAATTTTGCAATTATGATGACTAGATGCATTAGTAGGGCACTGAAGAAAAACTATAAAACATCTTTTTGGTGAGGATTAAAATCAGATTTTTTGTAAATTTTGATAAAAGTTAATAAAATGTGGAATTGAAAAATTATTGATCCCACAAAATATATAGTTAAAATTAGTTAATGACTTTAATTTATATTAAAATCTAAATTTTAATTTTTATCAAATAGGGGCTAAATTGAAGTGTTCGTCAATTTGTAGCACTATTTTATAAAATTTCGTTTGTAGCACCATCTTGTAAATTTGAATTCCAAACTAAATTTTCACTTGCTGTCGTTTGTTGAATATTCTGATAATAATACTCACTCTGAATATCCATTCTTTGTGCATTTTTTGCTCTTTTTCGGATTTATGTTCTTAACCTTTTTTAATCATATTTTTGCCTTCAATCTTCTATTCGAAATTTGTTCGTGATGGTGTCCAAGAAATCCATTGCGAGGGGGGAGAAAAGACTTATTTGTCTTACGTATTTTTAATTAAGTGAGATAAACGAAAAATTTAAAAGTTAACTGAATATATGAACAGAAACTACAGTTATAAACAAGATGGTCAAATTAATTGAGCACCAAAAATAAAAATGAGGTGAAAAAGTTGGGAATATAAGCGAAACAAGAAACCCCAAATCGACCAAGAACAAGTAACGGAAGGTGCATGGGCGGAGCCAAGAATTGTGTTCAGTGTGAGCACCATTTAATCATCGCCGAATTTTGATTACAGGAAATTGAAAGTTTTAAAACCGGAGCAAGACAATTCATGCTGTGAAAAACTATAGTGATCCCCAAATTGAAATTCAAATAACCTTGAAGAGGATATGTTGGACACTGAATCTTATATATATTTATATTAAAGATATGAAGAAGCCTCTCCATAGGCTTATCCTTAGTAGCTGATAATAAATATCAGGTTGAATCTTTTCAGGAAGTTCACTAACTACTACAATTGTCAAAAGACAAATGTCAAACTTAGGTCCATATCTACCTCTCTTCTCCATTGTCGTGTGGAGAGATGGCATTGGAATGCAAGAGGTGATCCTCT